AAGACCCAAGCCAGTTCAACGATTTAGAGAGGCTAAGACCCGATCTATTTCGAGAGAGTAGCGAGGCTAATAATCGAGTGAACTCAAGTATCGTGAGAGAGTTAGGCTAATAACCGAGTCGATCACACCTATCGTCGAGAGCAAGGCCGTGGCGAAGCCGTGATCGAGACAAGTCGAGGGAACGCAACACCCGATCCTTCATCACGCGCGCCCAGCGCATCCCGCACTCCTGTCGTCCACTACTTCGCGCGTACCGCTAACGCCCGCGGCCTGCTCGACTGTCGTGCACCCTCTTACTCCCAGTGCTACCCGCGTGCGCTCCTCATCGCGTTCCTCGACCCGTGCACTAATCGCCCGCGTATCTCTTGCTCGATCACTGGACCAATTGCGCGCATCAAGTCCTGATGCGCGCTGCTGGCTCGCACCTGCGTTCATTGGCCCATAACAATCCCCCTCGCGTGCCATCCGCCTATTCTCCAAGCGCCATGCGCGTCTACGCCAATGCGTGTGTGCGCGCCTTTGTCTACTGCCTTGTACGTGCCACTTCTCATGTACTCGAGTGCCCCGCATACGATCTTGTACCCGTCTTTTAGGCCATGCATACGTCATTTTGGCCCTATTTTCAGCCTCCTCGGGTCGTCTCGGCTCTTGGAACTTCTCGTCGTCGCGGGTCAATACCCACTTACGCATCATTCCCGCCCCCTTTGAGAATGTCCTTGTCCTCAAGGACTCATCCTTGACCATCCAAATCTCGAGAACTCTTTCTTCGACCATGCGCATATCCCACTCACGGTCCTCGTCGACTTGTACCAACACTCGCTATCATCAACGACCACCTCTTCATCCGTACCGTACTGCGCGTGCGTCACCTCATCATAGCCTCCATCGCCCACGACCCAGATCGCACCAATGACCTCGGCCACTTCGACTTCTTTGGATCCGACCAAGGTTCCCTCGACTTCAACCTCGACAAGGTATTCCTCGGGGTATACATTGAGAATAGGAGATTCATCTAACCTCATCGAGACTCGCTCACCCATGCGCTCGTCTTCTTGCTCGCACAATCCTGGGAACTTCTCATCGGCCTCGTCTTGTTGCTCTTCCTCCATGATCTTGAGTTGTCTTTCATACTCCTTCTTTTTCTCGTACATCTCTTCCAAATATTCTTGCTCCCAAGGGGTCAATTCCCTCTCCTATCCTTTCAAATATTCAAGATCTTCTTGATCCCACTCAACTAATGGCTTGAACAACATTGTCTCTTTTTTTTTTTGACTCTAAAAGTTCGAACAAAAAATTCGAACCCAAAAAATAAAACAAAGAGAAATTCGGCCCCTCAACAAAAGGTAATAACCGAACAAAAATCAAACAAAGGACTAACAAGATGACACTTTTTTTTTTCTTTTTTAAGACTCAATTTCGAAAAAATAAGGGAAATTTCGAAAAAATATTTAAACCCCACAAACCAAAAAATAAGGAAAAATTCGGCCCCTCAGCAAAAGGCAAACCGAAAAAAAAAAGATAGGATAAATAAAAACACGATCAGCACCTCTCAATGAAAGCACCAATGATGAAGGACCACTAATCGGTGTTGTTATTTATACGTTGGGTGTGAACAAACGGCGCACTCAGGGCCTTCG